AGTTATCGGCTGTGTGGTCAGCCACTGCGGATCTGTTTTTTGCTTTGTGAAACTTTGAGCTAAAGGAATCTATTGTCACGTGGTGAAGTCAAGTATGACCTGCTGGCATCTCAAAACAGAGTCGCTGTTGCTGCAGTTATGGCTGGGTTATCATACAAGTACAAAAATATGGTGACAGAAGAAACCCCAAAGTATCAAACCTCATGATAAAGATGTCCTACCAGCCAAATGTAAAACCAAACTCTTTCCTTCCTCCGCTCTCAGCTGCCTTTCGTCTCCAGTCGTGCGGTGCAGCTCGGATCTCTCTACGTCCGAGGACTGAGCCACCTGCTGGGTGCTAACTCTGCCAGCGGCTGCCCGCTGCCCAGCACTGCTCTGATGCCTTGGCACAGCTTCGATGGACGGCTGTTCCACTCAAAGTACCTGCTGGCACATAGCGGCACAGAGAAAACTGTGTTGCTGGACAGCGACGTGAGTGGAGACGGAAAAACAAAAAGGGGAATGTGTGTGTGTGTGTGTGTGAGTGTGTGTGAGTGAGTGAGCAAGATTTTGAGAACTTGGATGTTTTTTTGTATTATGAGTGAACAGCATTATTTTTAGACAAGATGTGTCTTAATTGTGTATACAATCCAAAGTGTGTTATTTTCTGTCTCTGTCTCCAGTCCTCCAGTTTGTCTCTGTTTCTCTGCCTGAGAGAGAAACTTAGTGAAACCTGCGGGAAGCGAGGCAGAGTCCTGCAGTCCAGACCCATTGCACCAGAACAAAGGCATAAAACCACACCAGGACCCAGCTACAGAGAAAGACACACAGGTGAGACATAAGAATGACTGACATGTCTTTATAGATACATGCAACCCACCTACAACCTCAGCCACCTCCTTTCAAAGATTAGTTAGTTTAGAAATTGTCACTGTGGCTGTGTGTCTTCTGCGGGAGACCATGACCAAAAGTTTTATAAAGATGTTGCTGTATATATCTAAAACATTTAAAGATGACACAGTTACAGGAGTTAAATATGTCCTTAAATTTGCTCAGTTTTTGACAGTTTAAAATGAATCCTTGATGATTTAAAAGATGAAATTAGGGATATTTTAAGCTCTTAAATAAACCAGTTCAGTTGTTTTGACTAATAGCTTTGTATTTGTTGAGATGCTGTGTGT